CCAGAGAGGTGGTGGAGGCCAGAGAGGCGGTACGGCTATGGCGGTCTGTATGGTGGCTATAGGGGCATTTATGGCTCTGGGGACTGCTACGGCTATGGTGGTCTGTATGGTGGCTATAGGGGCTTCTATGGCTCTGGGGACTGCTATGGCTACCCAAGCTTTTACTCCGGCCGCTATGGCTACCCCTTCAGTTCACGATATGGCCAAAGGTTCGGCTATGGGAGCTGCTACCCCTGCTAAACCCAGCGGGAACATCCCTGAAATGAAGATCAACCCAGGACTGGCAAGCGCGGATGGATGGTGAATCTCGGCAGCAGCAGCCCCTGGGACAGCGGCCCCTTCCGTGGAGGCTTTGAGTGCTCTGCGCTGCTGTTGAAGTGCTTGCGATGATTTATCTTTGTTCTTCCCTGTGCCTGCGTGCTCTCTTGCCACCCAGGCTCTCCTCTTGATCGACAGCTTGCTTCTGTCTTGATACTGCGGTTCTTTGTAATCTGGCTTGTGCGTTTGTTGCGAAGTCGTACAAAATATTAACTCCAAATGGTACAGGCAGGGTGTGTTGTGTCTTTGGGAATGTAGTCTTTCAGTTCTGTGTGCCTTTCAAAGTAGATCTGTCTTTCATATTAAAAATTATGCTGCATCAATACTGTATTTCGGGTTTTATTTTTCACTTGCCTTTCTTAAATGTCTTGAAATCAATAGCGTCACACAGATCGGGTGACAAAGTTATTGACTTTGCATACTCAGGGGTTTGCTTGTAGAGACTTGCCTTCTTCAAGCTGAGAAACCTGGACTTTTGTAGCTGTGAGAAGCTTCAGCTGTGTCGCTGTGTTATGCACGTTTGTACAACTCCAGGCTTTCGCTTGGTGTATTCCAAGTAAATGGTTCATCTCGAATACTTGAATGCTGCTGTTGGGCTAATGAGATGTGATTAGGATGTGATCCATCACTGGCTGTGATCTGGTATTGAAGACATCATCGTAGGTAACTGCAAATGTGTGGGCTCACCAGGTTTTTAGTTTTGAAGGAAGTTTGTGTTTTGTATATTATCGTACACTCATTAAACAGCCCAGGTTGGAAGGGACCTGGAAAGATGAGGTTGAAAAGATCAGGGCTTCCCTGATGGAGAAGTGGGAGGAATTTTCCCTTTGCGGTGCCAATAATTTGGTAGAAGTGGCTATCCAGCGGCCAGCACCTCTGAGGCGTGGCAGTGGGGCGTTTCTGTCTGTCGGTTCAGGGACGTGGGCTCAGAGCCCGCGTTTTGCTTGGAAGCAGAGTCACAGCCGACTTTTACTGATTTTTTTTTTTTTTTTTTTTT